TTTGACCGGCTATAATTGACGATGTTGGCGCATCATGCAACCACTGGCGAGAGTCGGAGACTCATGAAATCTGGCAGAACCCCACAATGCTGTGTTCCGCCGCATCGCTCGGTGTTCAGCAAGAGATGCGAACAACCATCAAAGGATTAACTCTGTATGTATGTGTAGATTTTTGGATTCTCATTTGCGAAACGTATTCCAAAAGAAGGAGCAGCCTTGTCAACCATCGGTGTGAAGAGAAGAACAACGTGAAAAGAAGACACTGGAAGTAATATGAAGGAAGCAAATTGACATTCAACACAATCACCATTCGGTAAACAATGTTAAGATTGTGTTTTTGTGTGTGGACTTATTATTTTTTTAATTTTAACACTTCTGTGACAATTACGAATGGTAAAAAGTATCAGTTCCTTACGCTGCATTCTGAGCCAGGAATCACATGCATAAATTTTTCATACAGCACTCAAGTTAAAACTGAATACTTTATTCTTTTTACACGTTAATCTTAAAGAGGGAACCTGCAGTTAAGAAAAAAAAAATCTTTTTTTATCAAATTTGTCAAAGCTGTCAGAATAAACCCGACAGTAATACAACAGGAAAATGATCTGTGTGAATTATTCTCCCTAGTTGGCCCCATCTTGTACCTCTAATTTGATTTTTAAGAAAATACTGCATCCGAGGATAGAAGGCGCAATCAAGGTAGTGTCAATCATTTACAGTGTATGTGTAACAGGATCAGTAAAAACAACTTACTGTCCTCTATTGTAATTACACACAATCTGTGAAATGATAAATACCTGACGAGTTCTTTCACTAAATCCTCCTTTATCAAAGGGCGGAACAAAAATGTACGCACCACACGATGCGTTAAATGTTGCCCACTTCATTCATTGCTGCCTGGTCATCCTGGAAGAGGGATTTTCCCCCCCCATCTGCGGTCCTTTCTCAATGTGAAGTTTCGATCAGGGGATGTCGTTAATATTTGCCAACTTCAGATTTGCGCAGCCGTCTGAGACAATTTTTGTGATGAAGGTCGATACAAATAAACTTGACTTGTCTTTCTATGTTTCTGTGATTATAACAGAAAACAATTCAAATATTTCATCCCAAAAGAGAGTCAAACTAACAGTGTCATTTGAACAATGACAATACTAAACAGTCGTGTCACCAAAAGAGACTTGTTGATGCTGCAACAGAAGAACTTATTTTTATATGAATGTTTTAGATTCCGACGCAAGGATGATAGGGGTGCACTCTTCTTTATCTCTTGGTGCGGGTGTGGATTCTGAGATTTCCGTACATGAGTGACAAATGATTGTCACATATATTATAAATATTAATGCACACCATGCTGCGTGCGTGGCAGTAACAACCACCCACACTCCAAAAACCAAGCTTTGTAAAAAAACGAATAACTTTACACTGTTCACACAGTTTACCCCATTCCTTTGTCAACCGTCATCAAAATAAAGAAGAAGCTCAGTTAATTTTCACGAAAATCTGATGAAGCGATGTAGCATGGGCCATGAGAGAATCCATTATGTTTTGGGTGAGAATGTGTTCAGTACAATTTTCTCAGTGAGTGATTCAAAGAATGCAATTATACAGGTTTTGCAACTTAGACAAGTAAATCTATTTTCGGCGTCTCAATAGGCCCCGGATTCGTTATTGAAGCGCAGCGTGAAAAAAAAAAACTCGCGTGTGCATATCTGTTCCCCATTCGGCCGTATAAGTTAGATTCTATTGAGCGAATCGATTGTAAAAACAGATGAGTCTATGCGATGTGCCAATCAATGGGGCCCCCACTAAACATTTGTCATCCCTGGGGAATTTCTTTGACCAAACAAGTCACTGACAGCATGCCGCAGTTAGACTAATCAGCGAGTGTTTAATTACATCTGCACAGTCCAGAGGTGCAGGAAAACAATAACCCTGCTCTGTCAGTGTCATCCTTTGTTAAAACAGATGGCCCTTTAGTCAGCAACATTGAGAGGAGGCATTCACAAAAAGAATTCGGGAGTTAGACGAAAATGTACACAGTTTGAGCGCACGGGGAAACAAATGTGACAAGTCAAGATAAGAATGTCATTTGGCATTCGCTCTAAAAATAATGAAGGTTTTCATATCACTTTAAGGAATCTTTGCATCGTGACACAATCCCCATACGCGTAACAATAGACCAAGACGTTATAGTTGCTGATTAACTGAATTTATTCGCCGCTTTGCATTTTCTTAAGTGGCGTATATAAATATTGATCTGCGCCAGCAAATTTGCATTTGTATGTTGGGCGTCTAAAAATATGCACAAACTATTGTCAAGTTGAAGACCGCAGTTATGATTATCATATATTTGCTATGCTATCTAAAGAGGCATTTCATGCCTTCAAAATGACCTGTTGGTTGAGACACCCACAATATGTAAATGAGTCGTCCATCAGTGGCTTGATCAGCATATGGATGACAACAATGCGAATTTAGCCTCGTCTAAATGTAAATTGGGTTTCATACCTTTGGCAAACAGCTTAAATGACAAGTGTCTAAACATTGGAGGTAATTTTGTGAAACCAACTCTAAATGAGATCTGCACTTTATGAAATGAACATATGATGCACTTGGTGGTCGCAGAAGTAGTCCTAAGTTTGCGATAAGTTTGAGAGAAAAAGAGAATTATTGAACACGTTTTCAACACATGCAATAAAAGGCACGGTTTTAAATCAATGAAGAAAAAAAAAATGTAAAAACTGATGCACCGAGAATTCGGTACATCCGAGAATCAATTGTATTTTAACTCGACAGGACATGACGAAGACATGGATTTATTCTCAAGGCCGGTCAAGACCGAGAATGCACGGACCACTTCAAGAGACACACAGCATATAATAAAGTGATGAACATGATTTTCAGCAACTGCTTATTTTCGCAAGTGTTGCACAGGAGCTGGAGCTTATTCCAGCCGACTGTGGGCCGGTAGCAAGAAGAAAGTGGTCACTAGTCAATCGAGGAGCACATAAAGACCACTATTCACACTCTCGCTTACGGTCAATTTAGAGTCTTCACTGAACCCAACGGCATGTCTTTGGAATGTTGGTGTAAAGGGGAATCAGCTGCTAAGCACTACATCACTACTCTACATCATTTCTGATAACGTATTCATACCATTTTCTTCACATACTATATATGTAGATTTGTATATACTTGGTGAGAAAATGCTTTTTATAACTTTGAATCCCCCCTTAAACTCCACCTGCTCAAACTAGCTTTTCTTTAATTCGATAATGTTATCTTGGTGATGTTTATTTGTGGTATGTTGTCTCTGTTTATGTTTTTGTTACCAGTGTTTGGTGTTTATATGTATATGTTTCTATATATTTTTAAGGATTTTTTTTTTTTTGTATTTTGAGGGGTAGCCACCCACTCCCTCATTTTTCATTTTATTTTAAAATCAAGACTCACGTGAAAAGAAAAGGACAAAATCAGTTTAATAAAATATAAGTGACCCCTTTCATTTGATACGAGCTAGACAAAAATCAACTCCTCCCCCATTTCTAACTTCAGCGATGCATTTACCGGAGAGATATTAATATCAATTCAATAAATCATTCAGGAGATGCATCCGGAGCCTTAGACGTTATGTATGTTAGCTGATCTCAATGTGGGAGCTCGATGCCCATTAATCAATGTAAAAGCTCCTCTAACATGCCCTTTTTGGAAATGGGTAAAAGTTGCGAAGATAAAAGCAATGCTAATGCTGATGTAAATCATTTCTCCATACACATGTATTATATATGTATCGGGTTTGAGTTACCATAACTGTATCAGCTATAGTATGTCATTGGCAACTATCAGTGAACTGTTTACAGATAGTCAATATAATTTTTTTGCCTCCTGGCTAAGGGGAGCATGATAAATGCAAAAGTAGGATACGTGTATATGACAACTCTACAAACAGGAAATGTCAGAGCACATAAGTACAACAAATTTAATGAAAAGAGCTTGTGGGATGGGACCTGGAGGTTGAGCAAATAAGATTGTGCTAATATGTGCGAATATTTTTTTTTAATGAAATAAAGACCTCACTGTCAGCTCTTGTTTGAATAGGCAACCAATTCAGTGAGGCAAACATTTGACAACTGCAGTCAAATATATTAGATAAGCATGTAATGATTGTTCCACCTGCATTATGTGGAACAGGCTCGCAGTGTGCTGCAATGTTTTGATGTTGATGATGAATGTTTAAAGGAGAAGTGAACCCCAAATTTAGTAATTATTAATAACTGTCACACTTTAGAATGTAATACTCGCACATAGGCACCTTAGAATTTTGATTTCTTGTGAAAGTGTGAATGAATTAAATATGTCTCATTTATGTTTATGCATGTTTTATGTTTCTGGCCAAGGGACTACGAATGTAACTAAGCTGGATGCTAACTTTGGCACAATTACGCAGCTGTGGCACCAGTGTTCATCAATGTGCATTGTCCCTTTCAAATAAACAATGAAAATGAAAGAGGAAAAAAAAAAATCCTTAACATCACTCGTCTAAAAAACTGCATTCTGAATATAGAGTTAAGCAGCCACCCGTTTTTAGCCATCACAGGGAGCGGCTATTTTGCTAGTTTCTGTCAAATGAAAAGGACATCACAGTTGCTCAGAGCTCACATATTTTCTGAAGCTACAGTAGAAACAAGTTAAAAACTACAAAACTATTCATACACGCTTAACTTGATTGATAAAAAGAGGAGAGCGTATTAAGAGTTGTGGCTCAACATCCACGTTAGCAGTCCATCGACGAGATTTTGATGAAATTGGTATCAAATCATGGTTCGGTCAAGGGTGGGTCAAAGTGGCAGTTAAGTCACACATAAATATCAGCCATACTCACTATGAAGTGTCACATTCTTTCATAGCTGTGTCAGTTCATGAGCAACAACAAACAGCACCATATGTCATATGAGAAGCTAACCGAGTAATGTTCAAGTATATGGGATCCTAGTACTCACCACTCTCGAAGCAAGCGTCAAAAACCAGATGTCCTTTTCTTGGAGATCCTGAATACCCCGGTGGGCTCACTGTCAGTTTGTTGACATTGCCCACCAAGGCCTCCTCGCCTCCACCTTCGTTACCTACACATGCATTATAGAAGAAAACACATATGTTGTAAATGGGTGTAAAGATTTCAGAAATCAAAAGCAGAGTATTATAACAACTTAAAGCCTTAATTTTTAATTTAAAGTATACTGCATTGTGAAATCACAAGCAGGATTGCCTGATTAATATTGGATATCAAAATGGATTTCAATGTTCGATATAAACAGTAGAGCCGGGTTACAAGACTAACTTACAATATACTCTCAGTGTGGTACCCGATACGGCATCCAATACAACGCCAAGAAAAGCAACATCATGATTGGAAATCAGTGTTTCCCATGTTTTGCTTGAGCAGCAAGGTCCTTGATGCATGTAATGAGGTAAAATATCTTGGCCACTGTATTTCGGATGATTTGCCAGATGACAAGGACATTCACTGACAATGGAGGAAATTGTATGCACAGGCAAACACGCTAGAGGAAACTCCATATGTGTTCCTCAGATGTCTAAGCCGTATAGCAAACCACAGTATACCGCGGTACCTTCTTAAGTCTATGAATAGACTAAATGTAGCATACAACAAAGCTCTGCACCTGCTCCTGCGGGTACCTCGATGGCACAGCGCCAGCAAACTCTTTGGTAGTCTGGGGTTACCTACTGTTAAGAAACTTGATGTACAGATTCATGTGCATTAAATACAACTCGAGTTTGGGGCGACAGTAACACCGAAGCAGCATTGAATAATTTCAAAAAAAACCTTTTAAAAATATATTGAATTCTTGAATGAGGGACAAAATATTGTTTCACAATTACCGGCACCAGTTTTGAACCAGGGTTAGAAGACTGAAAATACATATTTCAAGTAAAAGATGGAGACTGAGGTTTGGATGAATCAGCAGAGCTGATCTCACTCCTCCAGACAGATAGCCAGTCCATACATCCGTATTCTAAACACTTCATTGAAGATCAGCTTCAAGGCTGAGCAACACGTTACCTACTGTAAATATGTATCACCTTTTTTACAGATTTTACATCACTCCCCATAGGTAACATATATTTATAAAATATCTTACCTAGGATATTGTTCAATAGTTGCCATGGCATTAGATCAAACATAAATTTATATAATAAATGCAGGATTATTGGGTTACCTGAAAGGCAGGTGACTCCCACCATTCCAACGCTATCGAGCCCTGAGGCGATTGTTAGTCTGTTTTAGCGAAAGTAAGCCAAGCTGTCAACGATTGCAGATCATTAAGTGAAGCCGTCTCAGTTTTAGTCCCACTACTATTCGTAACTGTTTGATGGAACGAGACTTTTGAATTGTGTAGGTATGGTGGCTGCTTTATTTTTGTTTGGTGTCTTTCCAAATGCATTCAAAGTTTCTCTATCTACTGTCATCTGTTTAGCCCTCATCTTAGCACTTAAGCAAGTCGAAACAAATTAGAACATTTATAACATTTCTGATATTAACTAATTAGTTTAACACACACAGACACATGCAATAAATGAAGAACAAACACAAATCAATCTACTAATCTTTCCATTTCAAGACCAGTTTATCCTCATGATCTTGAACTTCAACACAACGGACAAACAAATACGGATCCCAAAATCAAAAACTACCTCCATTGTCATGTTTCCGACTAAACCACTATTCTATAAGTTTAATGTATTGTATGTGTTTTTATATTGTCTTGTATGGACCCACTGGTACTTAATTGAAGTTTAACTGAATACTGTCTTGATCAAAAGGTTTAGAACACACCACTTTGTATGGTTTATTCAAACTTAAGTTCGTGCAGTTCAATTTCTAATTGTATCTCAACTATGAAATAAAAGCATAAAACAATTTACTCATATTAAAAAATATATAATGGAAACATTCTATGAACAAAATGTCAAAATATTTGTCTAATTTAGCAGCTGAACACACTCGTGGCATTCGTTTTACAAAGGAAATCAAATATTCAGAAAGTTCTTTGCAACTCGGTTGCATACGTTTCAATAAATGCGTGACACACTTTTGCTCAACGCCTACCAAATCGGCGTCTTTGTGTACAATGGGCCTTACCTAATCATCATTTTGAACAGCATTGTGTCAAATAGTGGTTATATTAAACCTACATTAACATTTCAGAACACAATGTAAGTGAGAATATCCACAAATAAGAGAACTGATACGTCAGCACCTATTGTAAATAAAGGTTTGTTAATGGATCGGAGCTGTGAGAAGTTAACACGTGTTGTCTTCAAAACTCTCTCCCTTTCCAGCAGCGTGAGGTCACTAAAGCGGACGAGCAACACAGCACTTGACACACGGAGCTAATTAAGGTATCAGCTAAGCTAGCTGGGGCTGTCCATTGACCAGCACACCTGCTTTGGTGAATGGAATACCTATTACAAAGCAGAACGTATGCCAGCCCGTACCAGCTGTTTGTTTTTGAGGACTTAAACATGGCTAAAGAGGGTTGCAGCAATGCTAGCTTTCAGCATGAAGGTGACATCACTCTTGTTTACATCCGTGCGCCTGCTAGCTAAAAAAAAAAGATTTAGCACGCTAATGTGAAGGCAAGTCATGATGATCGATGAAACGCCCAGCGGATCGTGGTTGCCCGCCGGGCCTTCTCTTTGGGAAACAGCACCGACGAGCGAGCGAGGTAAGGAGGCTAATATTCACGCACCAGTCTCGGCGTCTTTCACGGGGTTCTCCTCCATCTTCCGTTCCATTCTTGCACAGACGCGCTCCCTTTGTTGCCAAGGCAACGGAGCAGGCGGCAAAGGGAGGGAGGTTCCCATTAAATAGCAGTCAGTTGTCACACATTGCAAAGCGAGACGTGTTTGGAAAAGTACTTCCCTTAAGGATAATAATGCTCTGCAGCTGGGTTGAGACGCCTAAGGAGGAAGGCAATAAAATAAAATAAAACAGAAAACCGAGGCAACGTTATCTTTTATTCAATCAAAAAATGAATGATAACTACATGCATTCCACAGTTAACTAAAATAGTAAACTTGAAACGTGTAATATTTTCAGAGTGATTAAAAACACAACCAAGATGGTAGAGTCAGTCCATAGCCGCCTCTAAGTCCTCATCTTGAGGGTTTGAAACCGGACATTCCAAAAATTAATTAATTAAACACTTTATATTGCCCGTCATTGAGTGTGAATGGTTGGCTGGCAACCATTCCAAACCACTCAAACAAAAAGATCCCATTCGTATTTTTACCGAAATGATGATGGGCTTGCCTCGGATTTTTTGGGGGGAAATTTACTTTAGTGTATTGTGAATTATGTGCCTAAAGGGGAAGTTACATAAAAAAATAGACAATGCTTCTACATTCATGCTAATGGTCACACCTCTATCATATTGCAGCCACACCTGCATTTTTAATCGGATTTTCAAAGAAAGTCAATCACTGCAGGTCACAGACGGTGATTCTGAGTCATCCTGCAGATTGATTAAAGCTGGTGGTTTTCTCAGCAATTGGCGCATAGATGTCATCAAGGCCAATCAGGTCCGGTCCTATTCCTTTCCCATTACAAAGGCTGCACCTGATTAAGTACATCAAATGAGCAGGCACACAACTCCCGCAGCAAAGTGGCACACACGCTGTTGCTAATTTTCAGCTTGTATAACTGGACCAAATGAATAGGACCACGGACAGGGCAATGATATATTTGTGTGTGTGTGTGTGTGTGTGTGTGTGTGTGTGTGTGTGTGTGTGTGTGTGTGTGTGTGTGTGCGTGCGTGTGTGCGCGTGCGTGCGTGTGTGTGTGTTATGTATTTGATGACCTGCATCAACAAGCCACTGAGCAGATAGGTCAGACTGATTACTTCTCAGATGACAGCATGAGAATACAGAGCTGCCGTGAAAAATTCTATTTAAAAAAAAACATGAGAATTGAATGACCGTCCTCTATGCTATGTCATTGTTTTTAACACCGTGCCAATTAAAGGGCTCTACGGTGGCACAGTCACTCATTTCACAAGAGGGGTATTGAAATTGAATTAAGGAGCATGAGCAGAATACATTAGATATGCTGCATGTTTCTCTTGTTTCTCTGCTCTTATCGAATAGCGGGACGACATTAGGGTGCTTGAGTTTACCATAATATCCTGGCTTGTCTGCAGCAGATAAGGTGACTCTTGAGATCCCGACTGTAGCCTGATATCGTGCCTGAAACTCATATTGGAAAACTTCATGTACTGTATTGGAGTATGCATAACACTGCAGTCTACACCAGGTAGCTTCAATGATTCTTAGTGTTACTTATTTTATTAGAAGACACACAGTGCCGTACAGAAGTTTTCAGTTTTCAGAGTTCTTTTAACACACGGACCATATTTCAATTAAGTGACAGTCAGTGATGCTCAGACCTCCACCGAGACCACACTGTCATAAAAAATAATTCTTTGAGTGTTGCATTTGTGTTTGTCCATCTGTCTATTAGGTAGTGAGCTACTTACTGGTTCAGTAAGTAGCCCGCATATATAAATTTGCTATGATTGAAGTTAGCTGTAACCACTCCCACAGTGGCGCAGACCTTCCTCTCACATATCCGCCCACCGGTTTGCGCCCATCTACAAAATGACCAACGTCAAAACTAGCTCACCTCTGCTCAGAGATATGCTACACACTATGCCAGATTTACGTCGGTCATGAAAAGAGAGCCCAAGGTTTTTCTTCAATCTCATGACCAGAATATGCTTTTTGGGCACATTTTTTAAACATGTGGAATATGATTTTTCCATATGTATTACAATGCTGCTAAATACACAGCCAGGAACTGGATGGAAATAGCTCTTCAAAATGTGTTCAAATTAGAGAATGTATTTTTTGCTACCAACATTTGTACGGAAATTCCTCCTACGAATGCCAGCACGTCCTCGTTCCACAAAAATAAACAAATTAAAAGAGAAACCCATGCTGATAAAAACATAAACTCCCTTTCTGAAGTAAGAATAGAAACACTTTCAAGAATAACCCTTCAGCTCTCTGCCCAAGGTACGCTTTGAATGCAGCATTTTCCTGTCAAGATGTCTGCGAAGTGCAGAAATGATTTAATGAAAACATCCATCATTAAACTCAACAATCGCTTGAAGTGAAGCACAATATGCTCCACGGTCTCTCACATTTTAATTATCTCTCATGAGAATGTATTTTTACATGCTTATCGAATGTGTGACTGCTCATATTTGTGCTTCACATGTTTGCGGACATTCCTGTCTCACTGAAAGAGTTGAAGCTGCAGTAACATGAAATGTGGCTATTTTAAGCCTCTTCTGGAAGCGGAGGACACGGCACACCATCACAAACCTGATCAGAGTATATTAGAAAGCCCTCCGGGATACTATCGCTTCTTGCATCACATTTCAAAACTTTGCTTTCTTTCTTTCTGAAATATGTCCAAACCATAATAATCACTATTTCCCCATGACTAAGCAAACTTTAGTTTTCATGTTTCCAGTATGTTTCCTGCCTTTGCACTGTACTAGATTTTTGCATGAATGCTCTCCGTTTCAGTGTCATTTGTTTTAAGATTATGAAGTAAACTTTGACAAAAATTATAAACAAAACAAACAGCGCACAGCAGAGCGCCGACCTTCAGTATGTGGTACACCTCTTGGTGGCAGCGATTGCACATTATCAAGTGACTGACAGCCACCAAACAAATGAGGAAGGAATGCCATCCACAATAAATTCCTCTAACATGTTCTTAAGATGGTCCAAGTTTATCTGATTGGAGGTTCCACAGTATGTGATTCTCAATAGACTCCTTCTCTTCGGTTTGGCTCTTACTCAGCTCATGTGCTTCCACCGCTGGCTATAGTGATTAGGACCTTTCTCTACATCATCCTGAGAAGTTGACCAACCTACTTTGTATGGCATCAGGCGCAAAACTACCCTTGTCTGCCTGTAGGACCCCCACAGCAATCTTCAATCGTCAGGCCGCGTGGCTATCAAATGGTAGCCAACACTAGCTGTTACTCGGTTAACATGGCACCTTAGAAGTTGCGTTTGGGCATAATGCTAGGGTGTTATAGAAAGAACACCAAAGTATGTGAATATGCACAAATAGTTTATTTTTTCAGCCAATAGTGTTCGTGTTTTACAGAAAAAAATGCAAGTACATGAGTTCACAAATGGTGAAATGCAAATCAATGCTTCGCCATTTTAAATGTCAAAACTTCAAAACAATATACAGACACGAACATTTTAACATAAACGGTCACGCACGTGTAAAAGACGCTACTGTGAAGCGCAAAAACGAGGGGTGACCCAATCCGATATTGATTTCGGATATTGGTCCGATATCAGCAATAAAAACAGTATCGGACGCTATCAGTTTACATCCAAAATTTACACTATTAGCACTCATATAGAAGCAGTCATTCCAAACTTCCGTCTTGTTCTTCTATCCAGCAGCGTGGTATAAATGGATCCGATTTTTTTATGCCTACTGTTGCTGACTATTGTTTTATAGAAGCCTGTATTGTTCCTGCTGATATCGTATCAGATTGGTATCGGTATCGAGCAGTACCCAAGGCTGCAAATATCGATATCGTATCGGAAGTGAAAAAGTTGTGTCGTCACGACCTAACTTTAATCACAAGTGCTGTTTATATAGCAGCTGGCTGAGCTAAGTTTTGGCTGGATTCGATACTGTATTACTCTGCCGGCGTTTTTTTCAGGAAAATTAAAATTCAATTAAATCCCAAATAATATGAGTGGGGCAGTAGGCTCTATGTGTTTTTCTTGCATTTTTGTACCATCGAGTCCTGCAAAAACCCTGTTAACATGCACAAATGAAGTCTGTCATTTGTGTAGGAGGTAGTCATGCAAAAATCAATACGAGGCACAAGTGGCATCAAGTTGGGAGGCTACGAGGGCACAGGAAGGAGGGGGTTGGCAGTTCAGAAAAAAACAGCCATCAGTACACAGAGAATCACTATGGTGACAGCAATCAGAGAGCTTAGGGGAGCCGAGGCGGGGTCAGGGAGGAAGGCTTGAGAGGCAGCTGACTGAAGAATCAAGCCTCACTCTGGATGATTCATCCGACAGCTCAACCCCCCAACGCCCCCCTCCCCTCCCTCGCCCCCTCCTTCCCAGGGCACTGCTGGGCCACTCGTTCCCCGGAGACGACCAGCTTTGCGGAACAGGGATGTGGCCGGCAGCCCTTTTTTCTTAGACAAGAGAAATATGAGGTGAAAGCCGAGACACGAGTGAAACGATATGTTTGATGATACATTCATGTCTGTGTATCTGAATTTACTGTATGTTTTGTTAGCCTCACACAAGTATCTGCTTTGTATACCCCGCTGATACCCCATCACACTTCATCTGTCCCTCTAAGCATTGTTTTGAACACATGGGGTGCGAGTCACAGAGTAAATCATGATAACATCACAATATTTTGCCAGCTTTCACAACAGTATAATGATGCAGCGTTTATGTCATATGTTGGAGGGAAAAAAAATCCAAATTAAAGGTTTTTAGTGGAGGGGTTTTGGTTAAAGTTATTATTTTAAATATAAATAAAAGGCCAATATCTATCTTTAATGCTGGTGTGTCTGCACTGTAAAATTGTATTTTATCCCAAATGGACGCTGTCAATCTCATAATTGTCCAGTGTCAATAAAACACTATTAACTGGCCTTTCCTGTTCGATCCCTTGATGGCGAAAGCAGAATTCAAAGCACGGGGAGAGAATCATTGTCTGTAATTACAAAGCAAGTTGTATCACACCACTGACATTAGCGTTACAAAAGTTGATAGCACCAATTACTCCAGCGGCATGACCCCCATTAAGCGAATCTATTGTAAAACACAGCCTTTTATTTCAGCAACCTTTTCCCTATTAGACGCAAATACAGTTACACCTTGACTCAAAGTTCAATTATTCTGAGTCACATTCTTGGCTCAAGACGATGTTTTGACATTTCTTGTTTATTGCGTAGTTGGACTCCCCGTTTACTGGCTGCTTTGTCATGGCCGTGCCACACCCTGCTGAGGAAGAGGACGGCCACCTGACCTTGATGCTCACATCAGCCCATCCCCTCGCTTGCGTTCGTCTGCTGGCCACTACAAGGTAGCCTTCCTTCCCTTTCACTTTGCTTTACCTTTCATATCATAAAAATGAGCCAAATGCTTCCCACTGCCAAACGTCTTGCATAATCCCTTTTCCACATTTGAATCCGGTTTCATTAATTAGATAGCATAGTGGAAAACATTAGTCCTCACACCACAAACCAATCCTTTTATCCTTGCCCTGTGTTTTCATGGTCCACGAGGGAGTGCCTCCATAAGTGCAAATGTTCCCTTGCCGTGTATAAGACACACTAGAAAAGAGAACAGAATCAAACATATAGGAGTGGCACGCAGAGGAAGGCGGTGGCGCTGTCCATGGTGCTAGAACAGTCTTTCCACCTTGTGGTTGCAATTGTGAACTGAAGCTGCAATATTTTGTACGCTGCGAGGGGCGGGGGAAGGGGGGGTGTTTTGGAGAGAGAGAGAGAGAGAGAGTGATGCAGGGAGAGAGAGAGGGCGGGAATGCAAGGGGGATGATACAACGAGAGAGGAGAGAGAGAGAGAGAGCGAGAGAGAGCAAGCAATAGGAAGGGGAGTTTAAACTAAGTGCTATGTTTTGGGACAGCTAATCTGCTAGCGAGCAGTTTGAGGATCGGAGCGTATTGTGTGAGCCAGTGTGCGGGGGACAGATAAGGCAGCACGCCAGCCCGCCAAGCCAACCTACCGACTTCTCGTGTTAATGTGCTGACTCCTGGGAGATTTAAAAAAGAAAAAGAAGAAAAAGAGAGAAAAATATTGACTCAAGACGTGTGCGGGGATCCTGGACAGAAACATTATTGCAGCGACAGCCAACAGAGCTCATTTGAAAAACAGGAGAGCGCGATAAAGAAAGGCAAAATAAAGGACTTAATAGTGATTCCTCCAGATTTTTTTCCTGCTTGTTTTTTTTTTTTTTTTATTGCTTGATTTTTTTTTAGTTAATTTTTTTTCTGCTTCTGGGACTGACTCCCATCCTTAGCAAAGAAAAAGGGAGGAAAGAACTAAGGAGGAAGCTGACACGAAGAGGACAGAGAAAAAAAAGTACCGAATTTCACCATGTTCGAAATAAGCCGAACACTCAACGCTGCTTTGCTGAGCAACGAGGTAAAGACATTTTTTCTTCTTCTTCTCCTTCTTCTTCTTCTCTTCCATGCCTCACCTGTCTGCTGCCAGCCATTCTGTCATGTGCGCGTCTGTTTGTGTGCATGTCTGTGCACTTCTGTCTGCTCGTAGCCACAGGAGCGAACGACAATAGCAGCGCATTATCATGTATGTTCATATGGAGAACACGCAGCTGCTCTGCTGTAAAAGTAAATGGAGAACCTATTGTGGCCATACTTTACATCACCCCATTGCAACAAGGTCGCCATCATACCGATCAAACCCAGCCTTGCTTGTCCAATCGGGGCTAAAACTGTGCCTTCTTATGCTTGCAAGTTTGAGAGCTTGTGTGTTCACGTGCTTTTGTGCGAGAGTAAAAATGTGCCCTAATCCCCTCCTTCTCTCGATCGCTTCCTTCTTCATACACACTCCCTCTGACCTTTGAATATTCATCATCGTCCTTCCTACCTGCTGTTATCTGTACCCCCCTCTTCTCCCGCCCCCTTTTCCCTTCTTCTCCTCCCTTCTCCTCCCACGTCAATGCGTGAGCGTGTGTGTGTGCGTGTGTGTGTGTGTGCGTGTGTGTGTGTGTGTGTGTGTGTGTGTGTGTGTGTGTGTGTGTTCTGTGAGCAGCATCTCAAGATGATGGCGAGGTACGGGCAGCTCTCGGGACTAGCAGCCAGTGGCGTGGGCTCCGTCCCCGAGTCGCACTCGCCGCTATTTCCCAGGGATCTCCCGTCATCGCCCGCCCAGACGGGCTACAGGTCATCCCTGGTAAGAGGATATAGACAGAGCACTGTATCTCCATATCCAAGTCTCCATCTTTTTAATGAACACAGGCGTGCGTTGTAATGCCATGAAAAAGAAGCAGGGTTGGAGGGGGTGGGGGAGTGGAGTTGTTTGTGTGTGGGTGAGGAAGGGAGTAAGAGGGCAGAAAGAGAACAAATCAATTGTGCAATCCAGCTCGTATTCTCACTGGATGGTATTAGTAAATATTTACATTGTTGTGTTTGTTCAATTACCCTACGCCTACTCTGTCTTTAGTCTCCGCCAGACAGACTGTTATCAAGGGAATTTGAGGTGTTTGTGTTGTGTAAAAACGTGCATGTGTTAGTGTGTCTGCATGGCTAAAATCTTGTGGAATTTTGTATTGCTCTGTAGTATTCACCGCAAAAAATCCAATTCGTTTGTGGAGGAGTGACTGAGACTTGGTATTAAAAATCAGATTGGAACACCAGCTCGTATTGGATGATCTCGTTACAAATGACTTGATCATCATCAAGGGAGCGCTGAAGACGCCTGGAATTATTTCCATTGATGTCAACATTCCGCTGACAGTCCCAGTTAGAAAAGATAACGTCAAGGGAAGGGAATGGAACAGGAAAGAAAGGGGCAGAAGAAAACCCAGAGCATTTAAGCAAAAATGTCGGAAGAAAATCCCTGACTCGCCGCATTAAGGCGACATGAAGCTGTGGGTGCTTCATTGGTTCGCCTCCCCTTCAAACTGGCTCAGATCCACACCCCAAAGCTTCCCGGAAGCTTTCATAACCCACTGTCATGCTGCTGAAGAAACCCAAGGGGTTTTCGGCAAACTCTATGCAAATGCACGCCGAGGATAAGTGGTGAAATACGTCTACGTGGAGTTGGGCTTCAAAAGTGTTTTCATTTATCGCCCCCCCCTCCCCCCACGTCTTATTCTGCATTCTTACAATAGTTCAAAGCCATCTGTCTCAGGGTTTTTTTTTTTGTTGTTGTTGTTGTTGTTGTCCAAAATGCCCATTAAGACTCGCTGTTATCTGCTGTTTGCATGAAGCTGCTGGCCCATGAATTATTTGTTGAATGTCGTGTAAGTAATAGCTTGAATTTAGTCTACAAGAATGATTGGCATGTTTACACATTTGAGGCTTCATATCGGCACGGCTGAGATGGGGAAAAACAAAATTTGAGGCGGGGGATTGCCAAGTTAAAAATCACTTTGAATTTAACGCCGCTGATTATAAAATGTGATTAGAGGGGGTGGGGGG